CAACTACTCTCAATGCTGCAATCTGACAAAACATGAATGCAAATTATGCAATTTTTCAATAAATAGAAGACAAATAATTTAGAAATAAAATATTTTATTGTACACTTTACAATAAAAATTTAATTTCAATAAGTGCATGGAAAGATGTTCAGAATGATTAACTGTCAATTAAACACAAAATAAAACTACAGTAAGATGCTACTATATAGCCAGTACCATGTAAAATTAAGAGTAGACAAATACCAAGTGTTGGCAAACATGTAGAACACTCATACATGGATAGTGAGAATGTAAAATGATACACAATTTTACAAGTTAGTTTGGGAGGTTCTTATAAAATTGACCATATTCTTGCTTTTGACCTCTAGATAGTTCTCCAATAAAAATGAAAATATGCCAACACAAAGACTTGTACATGAATACTCACAATAGGTTTATTATTGTAGCCAAAAATGGAGGAAGTAAAGATATTTTACAATTAAATGACCAGTGATATAACAAAAGCAAAAAATATTAATCAATAATAGTTGTACAATGACATAGAGAAATCTTAAAAATAATTTGCTGAGCAAAAGAAGCTAGACATAAAATATAATATATAGTGTGATTTTATTTATATAAAATGTGAAAACAAAGTTAATGTATAGCCACAGAAAGTAGACATATTTGTTTTGGTTAGGGATTGCTAGACTTAACTGTAAAGAGACAGAACTTCTTCAGAGGATGAAATATCCTTATCTTTGCTATTGAAATGGATACACTGGTGTACACATTTGATAAAATATTAAAACCATATTTTAATGGGTATATATTATTTACAAGTTATCTTTCAATAAAGTTGACTTTAAAAACTAATTTCAAAGCATAAAATCACTAAAATGTCATAAAATAATTGAAGACAATATGCTAGTCCAAAAAGTAAAATGCTAAAACAATTTTCCCAAAATTGTTTTGCCAAGTTCTGTACTCATCCCTTGAATCGCCGAGAGTTCTGCCTAGTTTTATAGGCTAGGAATATTTCTTTTTGTTTCTCGGGCATAATTTGGAAAAGCTGCTGGAATTTGCTTTTCTTGACCAAAGTAAGGAAATACCTTCTGTTGGTTGTTGTTATCTGAGAGAACAAAGGCATTTTCATAATGTCTTTTACAAGATATCTAACTGAAACCAAAAGATACACACATTTGTCCTTTCTTATGTAGGCATCTGCTCATTGCTTGTCCTTGGGATCTTGAAAAGAGTAACTAAAGCAGTAATAGAGTCAAAGATCCAGTCAAAGTCATTCTCAAAAGTTAAGAAAAAGTCAAAGGAGACTTGGAGCCAAATGCTTCTGCAGAAAAGTTTTATTCACACTTTTTCACTTTCAAAACCTCTCACCTCTCATTCTGAAAAATGGTGATAAAGAAAAGGAAGTCTTTGGGAGTGTATGTTTGATTCTTCCATGAAGTGAGAGAAAATACTTCTTCTGAATGCTTCTCATTCCTGTTTCAGCAGTATAATTGGTCCTAAATCTCTAAAGCTGACATTTGACTAAGACCCAGGCAACTACCTTGGGTAAAGGGAACACACACACACACACACACACACACACACACACACACACTCTAAAAGGTACTTAACACATAATTTGAGTTTTCTAGTTTACACACAGACTATCACATATTTAGTGACTTAGAATAACCTGTGCATATGTACATCTTTGTCAGGAATGTCTGCATGGTACTTCAATGCATTCCCAATTGTGGAAAGGCCTACCTCTGTGAAGCTTATCTATGAGGTTGGCAGAATTCTTTGCCTTATGACTGTAAAACTAAAGTTCATAGCTTCTCACTGACTGTTGGCTCGAAACTACCCTCAGCTCCAAAAGACTGTCCATGGCTTCTTGCCACATAAGCCTGCCAACAGGATGGTTCACTTCTTCAAAGTGAGCAAAGGAGTCTTTAGAACAAATACATTCTACTAGCCTTAGAGGGTCCTATATGCTGTAACCAAGTCAAGGCAGCAACATCCTATAACCATTGCTGTATTCTGGTGGGTAGAAACAAGTCATATTTCCTACTCATTCACAGGGGAAGGGGATTAAATGAGGAGCTGGGGAATCATGGAGGTAACTTTAAAGCCCCAAATATATATTATGATAGGCATATTTTAATATTGTTTATATTGGTTAAGGCAATGGTAAGCACTTAAGTAGTAGTAGCTATTACCCAGATAAATAAATATTTATATATGTTAATGTGTAACAGAATTATTATACCCTATCACAAAGGTTATTCTATAGTATGCTCAATCAGGATCTCAGTCTCAAAATGTGTGCTTTTACTACATCATGTTCATGACATATTTTTCTCTAATAAAAATGAGCCATGCACTAGAGGTTAAATTACTCACCACCCTGAATGTGCCTGTCTACCATGTACCCAGCCTTGCAAGACTGAATTAAAGCCTCACTTTTGCTCTGCTTGTCACCTCTGAGTTCCTTCCAATCCACGTTGAGTTGTACAGCCTTGCCTTGAACTTGCAATCTTCCTGCCCCATCCTCCAGACTGCTGAGATTGCAAGTATGCAGTACCATGCCTGGCTTCCTATGTCCCATCATGCAACAAAGGAGGCTTCTGGTCGACATGCTCCAGCTCCCAGTGCAGAGTAGGAGGCTTCTGGGCCAACCTACCACCACTCCCAGCACAGAGGAGGCTTCTAGGTTGATGTACTGCAGCTCCCAGTGCCCCAATTTTGCATTTATAGTGCCCTGCCTGTCCTGGGGCACCTGCCAAAGCACTGCCAGTCATCTTCACACCAACAAGTCGAAACATGCTCTGAGGCAGAAGAGTGACTCATCCAAGTTGCCCAAGTCCTGATCCCCAGAATCTGTGAATATGTTGCCTTATACGGGAAAGGAAGATTAAGGTTGTAGATAGGTTGCTGATCGGCTGACTTTAAAATAGGATTATATTGAATTATCCTGGTGGGCACACTGTTTAATCACAAAAATTTAAAACCAGCCTGGGCAAAATAGCAAGATACTATCAAAAAAAAAAGTGGAAGAGAAGATGTGAAAAAACAGAAGGAAAAGTGATGTGATTATTTTGAAGATAGAAGTGGCCATGAGCAGGCAGAAAATGTAAAGATGGAGATTCACCCGTAAAGTCTCCAAAAAAAAGGAACATGGTTTGATTGACTCATGGATTTTAGCCCAGAAGAGCTCTGTAAGGTGTCTGATCTACAGAGCTGTAAGATGGAGCATTCCCTGGCTTCTCTGAGGGGAAACCTTATGTCTTCCCTTTTTTTGAGCTTCTTAGCAGCATGGTATTGGGGTTTTTTCCTCTTTTTTTGTGTGTAGGACTGAGGATTGAACCCAGGACCTTCTCACTAAGCTACATTCTCATGCCTTTTTATTTTTTATTTTGAGACAGAGTCTCACTAAGTTCATATATTGCTCTGGCTGGACTCCAGTTTGGGATTCTCCTGCCTCACCTTCTAGAGTGCTAGAATTATGGTATATGTCTGCATGCCTGTTTCTGGCAGTGCATTGTAACTGTCCTGAGAGTAAAGTTACTGTGTTACTGACCCTATGCCTAGTATGCTGGCTCACCAAAGCCAGGCTCTAGAAAACACTTGAAGACTTACTGCACTCATGCTATAAGCAGTTGCCTGCTGTATGGTTCTCTCATGGTGGGTCAGAGTTGTAGCTCATGAAAACCTGTGAAAGCAAGGATTTTGGAGGTCTACACATAGAACCTATAATTCTTTTCTTCAGAAGCAAAGGAATTAGAAAATGTAAAACACATTGTGAGCATCTCCCCTGGCAGAGAATCCCATCTGGTGTTGATATAGAGGGCCAAGTAATCCAAATAAGGGAAATATTATAACTCTCTACCTGCTAGATATCCAAAATGTGAGTTCATGTTCTCTAAAATCAAAGAATGAATTCTAGGAACAATGGAGGTTAAGAGTAGGAAAAATTTATTGAGAGAAAGATAGCTTTTGTTTAAGAGATAGCAGGGGAACTGGAAAGTGAGTTGCCCACCCACTCCACTTCTCAAAGGTTCTTTATGGGGCAAAGCCACAAGGTGAGGTGGGTACAAAGTGGGACAAAATTGTAAGATTCAATGGAAAATCACAAGGTAGGAATGAGATGGGACAAAACCATGATCAACCAATAAGATTACAAGTACAGTCGCCCAGGTAATATTGATTAACTGAGGATGAGGGGGGAAGCTACTCAACTAGTAAGAGTATGTGGATTATCTGGAAGGAATGGACTAGCTAGGGATGTTTTGGTCCCCAATTAAGGTGATTGATGTCTATTTAGAATATCAATCCCTGCTCTTCATCTCTAGGGGAAGTATGTGGGGCAGTAGTTTCTCTCTTTTCAATGTTAACCTTTGGTGGATGTGCCTCAGTTGTTTTTTATGCTGAAGGCCCAGCCCTGCCCAATTGTCTTTTTATTTTTTCTTAATTTTATTGGTACATTTTAGGTACACATTACAGTTACATTCATCATTGGAAATTTGCACCTTTACATGATCTCTTGGTTCTTATTTTTCCCCATTCCCCTGCCCTCCCTTCAACCCTTCCATTCCTATTTGCAGAGACTTTGTTTCCATTTTTTCATATTGATTCCATTTCCTACTTTCCTTTCCCTTACCCCTCCCACTTCCCCTTCCCCTTTGCCCCTTTTCTTCCTACTTCACATTATCTATTATACCTTTTAGTCCTTATTTACACTTTCAGTTTCTCACACTAGAGAAACTATTTGGTATTTACACATGTGTGTCCTATTTATTTCACTTAAGATTATCGCCTCAGTGTGCATCCATTTAGCTATAAATGTTTCTAGTTTCTCATTTTTTATGGCTAAGTAGTACTCCATTTTGTAAAAACCCCACATTTTCTTTATCCAGTCTCCAGTTGATGGGCAATTGGGCTGCTTCCAAGTTTTGGCTATTATAAATTGTGCTGCTAAAAAAATAAAATAAAATAAAATAAAATAAATTGTGCTGCTATGAACATGGGTGCACATATATCACCAACTGTCTCATAATATTTTCTAATTTAGCTGTCTGCAGTAGTGTGATGCTGACAATGCCTGGGTGTCTTGAGATTCTCAAGGGCAAAACCCATGGGGCTCCCACCTATGCTGCCAGTTTGCTCAGTGGTTCCACCTCCCCTGGGAAGGACCTGTCAAAGAGTAGCTGCTCAGGGTTCTAAAAAGGATATGCGAGGTGTCTGTGTAAGGTCTCTGTGCCCCATTTCTGGAGACAACCCCAGGTGAGGTCTCTGTGGGGACTACAGAGTTTCCTTGTGAGCTTTGTGGTCTCCTGGGAGCTTCTGTGTGAGGTCTCCACAGGAGGACTCTGTGGGGTGGGAGAGCTCTGTATGGGCTCTGTTGTGGTGTCTGTGGGGGAGACATCTCTCTGTCAGCTCTCTGAGGGAAGCCCCTTGTGAAAGCTCTGTACTGGGTTTCTGTGTGATGGCCTGTGGGGCAGCACAGATCCCTGTGAGAAGTCCGTGTGCAAGCTCTGTGGAAGATGTGGGCTCGTGGGGCAGTGTGAAGGCTATGTCCCATGAGGTCTCTGACAGAGGTTCCTGCTTTTGAGCTCTATTGAGCAATGTGATGTCTCTGCTCAAGCTCTGCGGGAGTCTCTACCAAGGGCTGAGTTAGGTCTCTGTGGAAAGTGTAAGCATGGTGTCTGTGGGAGGGCTCTGCAACATGTCTGTGGAGTCTGAGGGTTCTCTGTGAGGTTTCTGCAATGATTGAGAACCTAAAGAATCTGTGAGGTCTCTGGGGAGTGGGGGTCTTTGTGTGCTGACTGAGAGGTCTCTGTGCTGACCAACAGGACTCTTCAGGGGAGCGTCTCTGTCCCTGTTCCCCTTGTCTGGATAATCTTCGCTTGGTGTAGGATGCTGTGCCCCAGGATTGAGGCCCCCGGGCTGTGCCTGTGGCTGCCCGGTGTGCCACACACCACAGGAAATGCTTTCTGGAAAAGTAGCTGCTCCTCTCCCTGCCACTTGAGCCGCTCTGCTTTTCCATGAGGACCAGGGCCCACCAGAAAGGAAACATATGCTAGAAACTGAGGGCTCTCCTCCTGGACTGGCCCAGCCCCCAGGGATTGGGACAGGTCACTTCCAGCCTCCTTGTGGCACAAACCCTGTGTGACCACCTCTTCAACTGTGGGCTCCTGGCTAAGCAAGGGCTGGGAGCCAGGCAAGACTTGCTGTGTGACCCTTGAGCAGGCTCTGGACCCTTCTGAGTCCCTCCTCTCCTCTAGGGACAGGCTTGGAGCTGCATACACATGTACAGGTCACCAGACTTTGAGTCACATCTCAGGTTCCCTTGTCCTATCTTCTCCACCATTGTCATTCATCCTTTCTGCAAGAGGTGAGCATATACAAGTTACATTCTTATCAATGTATTGATAAGAAATCAATCTTTGCTAACATGCTCTGCTCCCTCTCAAATCTGGCCCTCTGCGTGGGAACTGAAAGCGGCTTCTCTGGGTCTGGGATCTGGAGCAGACAGGGCCCTGTGGCAGGGCCAGGGTGAGCCACTTGGCCCCTAATGTTGCCTCCTGTCTGCTGGTGGATGACAGCCGAACCTTGGGAGCGCCCCATTCCCTTCACCATCCTTGTGCCACTCTGCTTCCTGCCTGGCTCCAGCATTTTCAATTCTCATTCCACATCTCCTTGTTCCCAGTGCCTGTCCATGAGTTACTGTGCTGGCACAGCCCTGGTGCCTCCACCCAGAACCACTAACTGGAGTCGCAAGATGCACCAGGATAAATGAGCCGTGAGCAGGACCATTTGCTCACCCATGAGGAGGGCCCCCTGACCACTGCCAGCCACGGCCCTGTAGCTGGATTTTGTCCTCACTGCTGCTCTAGTGTGAGGAGGGCCAAGGCCCTGGGATGGGGACTCTGAACTTTCCATCTCAGCTGAACCCAGAAGGGCCCTCTCCGTCCAAGCCTTTGCCAGGGAGAGGAGGGGCTTCCCAAGGGTGGACATCATCTGTCCCCCACCGGGAGGTCAAGGGCAAGATTTCTCCCACTTCTGAACTCAGGGCCCAGCATCCTCACATGCAGACTGCCCCCCATTTTGGGACCAGTGGAGCTATGTGGCTCTGACCTTTGTGGAACCTGTGGGGGAATTTTCAGCTTAAAATGTCTCTGTGTCCCTGGTCCTACCGCTGCCATAAGGTTGGGGAGCAGGGAGCAGTGGAAAGATGGGTTGAACCAGATCCTGGGGTTGGATTGTCACTGGTTTTTCCTGGCTTGGTTTTAGAGTTTTTGTTCCTATAATGATGGAAGCAAGGATCAGTGAAGGAAATAAGGATGAAGGTGGGCTTATACCCCCGTCACCTCCACCACACTGCTCCCTTCTAGACACCAGACCCCACACCAAGCACGGGGCAGACAGAAGCCATTTCTCTTAGGAGGAAACATCAGTGTTTTGGGTTACAGTAAATATCTTGGATGCATAACATGAGAAAAATCATTTTCCTCTATATAGGTTTTTTTTTTCTTGGACATGTGTTTTCCTACTAAGACAGCCTGGAGAGAAATTTCCCTGTTGTCCAGTCAAGACACCTCTCTGAAGAAGACCATGCCTTGGACAGTAATATTGTTGGCCTGGTGCCCTGGACACTGTTGGGCCACACTGGGAGGGGCTGATTGGGGACACAGCCTTGATGGGGAAGGAGGGGTGGGCATGCCTCTGGCCCTGCTGCTCACTGTTGAGCTGTCCAGTTTTCAAGGACTCTTGGCCATGGGGTGCCTCTTCCTGGTAGGACAGCTGTGGCACTCGAGGGTGGTTGCATGTCCTGGCTTTCTCCTGTGCTCTGAGGAGCAGGAAACCTGGGAGATGAGGTGTGACCTTTTTCCTCTGTGCTGATTGAATTTCAAGGCACAAAATTCATGCTGAAGCATCATTTTGGCTTCTAGCATCTGCTCAACTGCTGTCTTGAGCTGCTCAGCCTCATCAGTCTTGTGGTCCACGCGAGGTCTGTGTTTGGCTGGTCTCTGACTCTGGGCCATGGCGAGTGCAGGCTTGCCATTTTTCTGGGTGTCTTCCTGCCCTTTGATTTCTTTCTTAGGTAAAACCCACTGTAGTTAATTTCTTCATGCTTCTTTGGAAGTAGCCTTCTGAGGGGACTCGTTTCTTTTGTGGAAGCTGAAGGCATTTACTCTCTAAGGTGTCTTCTATTCCCCCCATCCTGGGTGGGCTCACAGGTCCCCAAGTCTCCCAACCTGTCTTCAGGTTTTCTTGAGCTGGGGCTCCTACCAACCTCATGCTTGTCAGCAGGGACAGATGTCTTGCTTTGGCTCTTCAGTGAGTGCTGATGTTTCAGGATCCAGGGCTTCTGCTGGCCCAGGCTGTTCCCTCTGTCTGCCATTAGGTCACCTAACAGCTGTGAAGCTAGCATGTCCCCTAGAGGCATGCTGTGGTGATGGCACTGGGACATGGCAAACAGCAGTGTGAAGCACAGAGAGTGTCAGTGGAAGAGTCTGGAAGGTGGGCACCTGAGACACAGACTTGACAATGGCTCACTGATTTGACCTCCACTCCGTGCTGAAACTTGTATCCAGTGTCTGCCCAAAGGCTTGGCTCTCCTGCCTCTTGGGTGACACATATTCCAGGAAGCAAGGGAAATTCTGGGCTGTCTCTGCCAACCCTTTGGATGGTCTTGCTCTCACAGGTTCTGCCCATGAGGTTGGATGTGAGTTGCTGTGAAGGCCCCACACTGTCCTGTCTAGTGAGGGGGGCCTGTGAGGACCCCCAGCCATCACCAAGAGGGATCCCTGTCAGGGCCCTCTCGGTCTCCTTACACAAAATAGAGGAGACAAGGAGACTGCCCAGTGTGGGGACAGACTGCCTGACTGTTGCCTCCTCTCCCAGATATCCCTGAGGTGGTTTTCCCAGGAACTTGGCAGCATCCTCCACTGTTGAGTTGGCCCAGGACACACTGGCAGAGGAGGAGGGATGGGCAAACTGTGGAAAGGGTGAGGGTGCAGCCTTTGTAGACTTAAAGATGTTCACAACCTTGAGGAGCTTGATGGGGAGGCCCCACCTGTGCCTCACCCTACACCTTGTACTGTGCATCTCCAGGTCCTGCAGGGTGGGTGGATTGGGGAAAAACTTCTGGATGGTGGTCACACAGGTTTCCTGACTCCTGGAGGATGCTGGATTTCTGGTTTTCTTGGGGGTGTGAGACGTGGAAAAGACATCGTTTACAGTGAGCCAGGACCGGCGCACTCTCAGAGAGATCAGCCCCTCATGGATCTGCCACATCTTCACACCCAAATGTGGTTTCAGCATGGCTTCTAGATGTGTCTTATCTCTGCTTCCGAATGAGTCATTTCTTGTGTCATTGTCTATGGGCCACATCAGGTTTCTCTCTGACTCCTCAGAGACTGTCTCCAGAACCTTCACTGGGGAGCTTCCTAGGGCCCTGGAGAGATCTTTGGGTACCTTGCATAGAATATGCCCCAAATTCTTGCCTGAGTCCCTCATTAGCTGGAACCTCATCTTCTGCACATCCTTGCTGCATTCACCTATAGACATGGATGACTGTGAGAGCCCAGGTTTGTCCTTTGCCTGAGGTGAATGAGCTAAGTCACACTGAGGCTGTGTGAGTTTCTTGAGACTCCTGGATCCTGCAGGGCAGGTCCCGCTGGTACTGAATGTGCCACTTTCGAATGTGTTGCTCTAGTTTTTCCCAGTCCTCAGAGCTGACTGAAAAACTCTCATGAAGAGTGGCAGCGGCACCCTTGCCTTGGCAAAGGTTGGGAGTGGAGGGACAGTAACCCTCCTGAGGGCTTTGGACTGCTGAGGGAACAGTCCGCCCATGTTCTAGGTGTTTCTTCGACAAGGGCCTTCCTGGGTGTTGAATTTCATCTGAGATGAGTGACTGTGGGTTATGGGATATAGAACAGGATGCTCCACAGCCCCTACTGAGGGGCAGAGAAGGTGCTAACAGGACAGGGGGAGAGGATTGCAGGTGGTTCCGAGTCTGGGCCTGACCCAGAGCTGGGGGCTGGGGTTGGGGTGGGGATTGGGGCTCCAAACAGGATGGGGCCTGGGCCAGGGACAGCAGTGGAGACATTTGATCCTGCGTGTGAACTGGGCAAACGTGAGGTTCTGTTGAATAAGAAGGTGGGAAGGTGTGGAATGGGAGGGTTCTGAGAGACCCAGGCAGCAGCTGTTATGGATTCACTGTGCAGAGAGGGCAAACCCCAGAAAAGCTGGATCCGTTTCTGCTGAAAGTGGACCCCCAGGATCTTGGGATATGAGGACCGAGCTGCTGTTCTGGCTTCTCTCTTGTGTCCCACCAGGGTTGTGGGGTTGTGGCAGGATCTGGGGGACATGGTGGGGAAAGGGAAAGTGCAAGTGGCTGGGGTGAAAGTCTTCCCAGGGGAAGCAGGGGCTCCGGGGTTTGAGAGTTGGTAAGGGGTGTGGGTGAACACACAAAATCGGAGGAGGTTGCTGATGGGCCTGGTGATAGAGAGGAGGCCGGAGGAGGAAGGTGCAGAATGAGAGGAGAGGGGGCAGCCTCTACCAGGGACGGAGCAGCAGGGTCTGCTTTCTCCTCATCTGGCTGTGACAGGTGCTCTTGTACACACATCAGCAGAGTGGTGTTGGTATACGGGCTGTTGAGAGCGTCCTTGGCCAGGGAGCAGCCTCTGCAAGCTGTAATAAATAAGAGTTGTAACTGTAGCTAGGGGCTGGGGTGAGCTCAATTGGGCCCTGGCCCCTCCACTGCCCCATACCCCAACTCTAGTTTTCCTGCTACTCCTCACCCCAGGGTCTTAACATCCCCCACTCCCAGGATCCCCCCCCCCCCGCCCGGGTTAGACCAATGCTGCTTTGTGACATCACAGGTTTTAGAAGGAAAGAAGAAAGGACAAAGTTCTTTACCTTTTCAGAAGGGACATTAGCTTCTTATCCAACTTCCAGTAAATCTGGTAGTCTGCAAAAGGTGGGAAGTGGGAAACTGGGTTATAAAGGATGAAAGGTAAGGAAGGGATTGGGATTTTACAGGAGGCTGAAGAGAATGTCCCCTTAGAGGACACAATTGGAGGTCTGACTCCAGAGCCCAAGCATTGGTGTCCAATGCCCTCTGGCCCTGAGTGACAGTGGTTACGTAGTACACAGATGGGCAGCGCTTTATCAGTACAAAGTGCTTCCACATCCTTCAACATCCACGGTCCCCACAACTATGCTGTGCTGGATGGATGGGGTCATCTCACAAAGGAATCAGCCTCTGCCAATTTTAACAGGTGGGCCTCAGTTGGACTTGGAGGTCCTATTTCCAAATCCAGGTTGTACTGCTCCTCTGCTGCCTGCACTGCCCCATACTGGACAAAACCCTTCTTCATCCCAGCTCAGCTTCATTCTGAGCAGGGAGCCTGAGAAGCATCCCCCCTGCTGACTGCCATTCCTGGAGCCCCCCTCTCAGGGCTCTGCAGCTGACAACCTTGGAGTCCTGGTGTTGGCCCCTGAGGGATAAGCAAGGTCACCTTAATTCTGGGACTGCAGGACTGAAAGGCAGAGCCTTACCTAGGCGAGCACCTGTCCTCTTCCTACTCCTGCTCTTCCACCTCATCAGCACTGGATGCTGAGAAAGAAGGAAAACAGTGAGAGGCCCAGGTTGGATTCTCCTCTCTCAGTCAAGCTGCAGACATTCAGTATTCATGAATACTATGCTACTCACAATAATGAATTAAGGAACCTGTGTTTTTTCTTTCCTTTTACTCATTTTTAAAATTACAATTTTTTTTGCCCTTCTTGTAGAAACACAGCAACTTTCTAACATGAGATCCCCTATAAGAACTCACTTCTACAGGTGCATCTCACCTGCTAGAGACCAGAGGCAGCTGTAGCCCGGGATAGGGCTGGACTCAGGCCCTCAGCATAGCCCGATTCAGCCCAGCACAGAGCAAAGGCTGGGCCCTGAGACACCTGCCATGAGACTGGGACAATGAACCAGTGCTCAGGGCCTGGCCCTCCCAAAGATCCCCAACTCTCAGGACTCCAGTCCTCATCCACTCAGTTACTGGGTTCTCCTTTACTCTGGCCAGCAATCCACCCAGAGATCTGAGGTTGTCAGACAGATGTCCTGGTGCCCACTTCCCCTGTCCTGCCCTGCCTGTCCCAGAGGAAGGATATTGTGTTCTTTTCTGAGTTTTCTCTCTCACCAGTCTGTCTACTTGACTCGGAAAAGTGGAAACTGTGGTAAAAGGAGAGAGAATTGTTTTCTGCTGGCTCTGGGCTGAGAGTTTCTTACCTTTCTGATGTTTCTATTTTTCCTCCCCGGCTGTAAGGTTGATTTACCCTGGAGCCAGGGCAGTAACAAAAGGAAGAGCCCCACTCCACCCACAAAGGCAAGGATCATATCCATGCCAAAGGTAGTGGGGCTGGGGCTCAGCCATGTGGCAATAAGGCTTTTCAGAGGAATGAGAAGATTCTCCATCATCTGAGTCACAGTGTTGCTCTCAGGCAACTGAGCCCTGAGAGTTCTCTCTGGGGGTAGGGAGGAGGGCCCAGGCCTGCATCACAGAGCTGTGTTCTCCTCATCACAAAGGGCTCCTGGGGTGGGGGAGGGGTGAGAAGAGGCTCAGCCACAGCCCCGCCCCTCCCCCAGGCTCCAGGACAGTGGGTGCTGTAGCCTCCTGGGCCTTCTGGACCCCTCCTTCTGCCTCCACCTGCCCAATCTATCAGAGATAGACCATAGTCTATTTTCTATTTGTTCCTCCTGGAACATAGGTATTACCTGGCTCTTTTATCCAGTTGAGATCCTGGCTGATGCTAACACATCAATGATATTTTTATAAGTTCATAACATTTATTGGTGCAGGCCATGGTCACAATCTCGCTGCTTGACACAGCTCCAGTGAAACCAAGACTGTGGCTGAAACCACAACTCGGTCCTTTGCTTTTGCTTTCTGCGGTAGTGATTACCTCGGTGCTGTACTCCCCGGGAAATCACTGAAAGGATAAAAGTCATTACTTCAGAAATGGCTACTAGGCCGGGATTACAGGGAGAAATTGTAAATCCATTTACAGAAAAGCCCCTCACTCATACCTCCATGAGTAGTGGGGACGTGACATCCGTATGCCCTGACTGTACAAAGGGAAATTGGGACATCTACAAATTCATGACGCAGGCGCCCCACTGTCTGGCACCTGGTCACCCTTGGCCAACACCCACAGGGCACATAATAATGAGATCCCAGGAAACTTGGCCTAATGAAGTAGCCTGACCTTTTTTAAATGCTTCCTGTTCCTCAAATGCAAATCTGATAAATTAGCAAGAGTTCACGTAGCACCCGGAAGAGTATTTAGAACTGGGTGGTCTAAAAAAATAAGTTTCTTAGATGATACCAGCTTTTCTTTAACTCTGTATGAAAACACACTGTGTATGGACCCATGTGCTTACCAAAGCCTTGTGTAATCAAAACATATATAAGTAAAGTGATTTCGGTATAACTCAGACGGGCAAGCTGAACTGCAGGCCCTCCACTGAGTGTCGGTCTCATTCTCTCATCGCTGCCTCCACACCTCCTCTCAGGACCTGAACCCGCTGGAGCTGGACTCCGGCAATTTATAATTCTTAAACTGCACAAAGTGGTCTTAAGAATCACCATATGCATACACACAGAGAGATACATATAATCCCTATATCCTTTCACAAACCAATCTAATATTTTTAATAAAACAATGTAATATTCAGTTCCATCATTTTCTCATTAGTATCAGGAAAAGGCCAAACAAAACTACAATGAGATACTATCTCACCCTAGTTAAAATGGCTATAGTTATTTCTTTTAAAAAATGCTAACAATGATGTGGAGAATGGGAAACTCTCAAACAGCACTGATGGGAATGTGAATTAGTGCAGGCATTGTGGAGAGCAGCGTGGAGGTTCCTCATAAAACTAAAAATAGGTCTACCATGTGATCCAGGTATTCCACTTCTGGGAATATATCCAAAGGAGATGCAGTCAGCACGCCAAAGGGACGCCTGTGTGCCCATGTTTATCCAGCACTACCCACAATAACTAAGATGCTAAATCGACCTAGGTGCTCATCAACTGATGAATGGAAAAAGTGAGGAATACATACACTATTCAGGTATAAAGAAGGAGATCCTGTTGTTTGTACCAAGGATGGAGCTGAGGGTTATGTTACATGAAATAAGGCAGATGCAGAAAGACAAGTACTACTAAGTTCTCTCTCATATGGAAGTTTAAGGAAAGTGAACCTGAATGTAGGGGAAGTAAAAAGGAGTTGAAAAGGAGTACGTGGTTGAAAAGAATGTAAGAATGTGGATGTGATCAGTGAGTGCTGTATATGCGCATTGAAACACCACCCTGAACCCTGTTAATGTGTACAATTAATATTTTTAATAAAAGGACTTTGATTCTTACAAAAAAAAATGAGCCATGGGTACTCCTTTATTTATATTCAAGCTCTTGTACTGTTTTTTCTGTTACCTCCAGAATTGTGACTGCAGCCTGTATCCTTAGATCCAAGATTCCAATTTTGCCTTGTTAAGGTACTGCCAACAGCCTAACCAGAGGAAAATGAGGTTGAACTTCTGCATCTCACATCCTATTGCTTTTCCCCAGTATCCAAGACCCTTCCTTGCCTTATCAATGTCTTGTAATTCAAAGCAACTGGTTGACTTTCAGGGATTAGAATGAAAAATTACACTTGGCACAGGTCGTTCAAATTACTGGTGTTAAGAAATTGATTTTAAAAATTGTGGATAAGTAACTTATTGCTATATGTAACTAGATGTAGTATTCAACCCAGGAATATCTATGTGATTATCAGATATTTAATAATATTTGATAATATTTTCCTATCAAATAATTTTGTCTGAACATATATTTTATCATAAAGAGTCAAGTAATTAGTAAGAAAGTACTCTGGGCCTATTCACTAGTTTGTGGTGACTGCACATGATAAAATCCAGCAACTTGCAGCTCATAACCTTCTGGAAATACAACACAGGAGCAGACAGATCTTCAAAGTAAATGTAAAGTCAAAGTATTCATCTTCTAAATTCAGGATAAAAATTATAAATTTTCAAGAAAAAAAGAATTTTTTCTTATGCTAATGAAATGACTTAGGTGGGTAGGAAAATATGGTTCTATTTTTAACATAATAAACAAATCCCCAAACTAATTTTGTACATAAGTATTCATATATGGATATATGGTAATCAAATAAGATGCTGCCAATGCATAATTATTAGGTTTAATCTAACATCTTTTTTTAGTCTCAGTATGTAAAATAATTCACAATATGTAAATTATTATACAACTAAAAGAAAATTTTGCATCAAGTTCATTTGAATTCTACAAATTTCATTTTAATAACAAATGATAAGGTGACTATGTATAAACAGTATTGTTACAAGTTTTGCAAATTGGAATATACATGTATAACGGCACATGCTTATTTTTTCATGATATAGGAATGCCAACCTCAAATGTGTCAATAGCTTGTACTGTTTCATTTTTATTTAAAACAAAATATGAAAAGTTCTGTTTGTAGTTTAGAATAACTTAGCAATGGGTTTGGACTTGGCATGTGTATGAGAATTTCTATGCACATCTTAACTCAGATTTACCCCTTCTCTAGCAAAATAGATATACCGTTTATAATTTTGCATGCTTCTTGTTATGCATTGGCAAAACACGTGTATTGCGGTCATTTTATTCTCTTTCTCAAAACTTCTCCATCACCTACTAGTTAATATCTTATCTTCCAACAGAAGTAAAGTTGTAAATTTCTTGTTTACCAAATTGCCCAAATATGAATTGTAAGAATCTTTTGTTAAGCTGCTATGGGTAGAGTCCATATCATGTATTTACTTTGCAGATTAACAATCATTCTGAAAAGGATATGCAAATTATTATTAAGGAAAATGTAATTACCTTTGGGATTCTATAAATCATAAATCTATAAAGTATATGAAATTACATCAGACTAAAGATGTTGCCTCTCTCTTCCTATTTGAACCCATTATGAAAACTATTTCAATGATTATGACAAGACAAATGCGTAAATAACAATTTTTAAAGGTAGATATTCTTTCTCTTGTGTAAGACTACATAAACTTCACCTCCAGATGGTATTTCTGGAGATTGTCACATAAACCCTAAGATTCACAGGACTAGTCTTTTTAAAATACTCTCAGATTAAAACTAAAATGGTTTTTGCTACTTTTCCTTTTGACTTAGAGACCTGACTCTAGATTTCAGAAGAAAGTTATCTTGCAGATGATACATCTCAGGTTTCATTCACCACTGAAATATAGTGTGACTTTCAGAGACAATTTCTATAAATAAAGAAAAAAGTAAAAGGCTTAAGACAGTTTTAAGGTTATATAATTTATGAAGAATGGTGCAATCATATTCTGAGTTGTAGAGAATAACAGTTTTTAAAAGATAGTAAAAAAATGCAAGGATTGTAGTTTGAAAATCACTTAAATTTCTTTTACACCCAGAATTAAACCAAGACCAAATATGGGTCAAATGTGGCTTACATCCTGTTTCATAAAATAACATTTAATGTCAGGTATTTGCTGGAAAATGAAAGTAACTAATCCTGCTTTAGCCATTTACCAGATTAATTTTATGTATTTGAAATCTATTGCCTAATAAAGAAAATATGAACAAATGTTAGAGGAGTAATAATTTTTTAAAGAATTTTAGAATTTTATTTGATTGGTGTTCTGCAGCTTCCTCTATTTTTCTTAATATTTTTAAAGAAATTCAAATTTTAAAATGAGTAGAATACTGATTCTATTTATCTCAACATTGTTTGGGTTCCAGTTATAAAATAAAGGCAATATACAGTCATTAGGTATATAGAGTGGGGCCTCGGTTAATGAACTTAAACTTAAACTTAATTATCTTAATTAAAGATAGTCATGGTCATGTTCATCAGCCAATGGGGAGTTTCCTAACAGAGGCCAAACTTGGCTAAACTTCCATCTGTAAACCGAATTGTTCATGAACAGAAGTGTTGATGACCCCAGATCTATCTATCAATATCCTTTCCACAATATGCTTTTAATACTGATCAAAAAGGCAGATAACTTCAATATTCAAATCATCAAAAACCTGAGCTAGCTCCTTCCAATGGCAGGTATTGATTGTTAAAACTCTCTATCCTGCATCACAGCTATATTTTATTGATATTTGGATCATAATGTAAAGCTAGTCATTCTAGTTTGGCATTTTCCTAATGATAAGTTATCTCAATTTGTCTTTATACAGGTTTTAGCCCTCAGGATTAAGTTTGAATCCTGAAGGTGCAGTGTGAGGTGTGTATATGTGGGTGTGTGCCTATTAGGTTCTGCAGAGAAATAGATCAATAGGATAGATAACTGTAGGTGAGTATGTGCCTTTCACAGATGCAGCCCTTGCTGTATAATGATATTTTGGTAACACTAGACCACACTTGTGAATGTGATTTCATAGAATTATAGGAAAGCTGACATATTCCTATTATCTAGTGACACCATAATAATTGCAAAATGGTAGACCACGCATAAGTCGAGTATGTGTGGTGATTTTTAGTAAAATCAAACCTAATGCACTGCCAGTCAAATGCATAGTATATAATGCTTAAAAATGGTAATATATAACTATGTAACTGTATTATATATTTACATCACTACACTTTTTGTTATCTTAAAATGTATCCTTCTACTTATAAAGTAGCATACTGTGTGATGTACCAGCACCTTCATACCTGATGTGCTTATTGTATTCCTTGATTGCATCAAGAGAACATCAAACCCTTGACCTATACTGTCTAGGTTTCTGTAAGTATATGCTAGGATGTTCACACAACAATGAAATCCACTAGCAATACAAGGTAGGGTTGCAGACTAGGGATCCATGGAAAAGATATACTTTCAATCCAAAGACAGCCTATTTGCAAAATATTTTCTTCATTGAGAGGGGTAAGCCTTTTTCTATTAAGGCCTTCAAAAGATTGAATGAAGCCCACCCACATTATGAAGGGTAAACTGTTTTACTGATTCAAATACTTATCACATCTAAACAATTCATTCATAGAAATATCTAGTTTAATATTTGATCCAATATTTGAGTACTGTGGTCTAGTAGGGTGATGTATAAATTAACCTCCGCAATGTAAACGATGATAGTGTCTTAAAATATTCAGATGATACCCATCT